TTAAATTGAAATTTCAACCGTGAATTTGTGCGGGTGGACAGGAAAGTGAAGAGACTTGCGCATCGACATAATGCGCTGTTGACTTTTATTTTATTTGACTTTTATTTTGACTTAAACCAAAGGAAAAAAAAATACTTATTATTCAATGGTACAGCTGCAGGCCATAAGCCGGCGCTAGTTTTTTTGTTCCTTGTTGTCTGTCGCTTTAAATTTGCTATTTAACTTTGTCAGTTTTTTTTTTCTTTTTGTGGAAAAATTGTGAAATAATTAAAACAAAATATAAAATAACGAGAGGTCGCTTTTGGCACCAGAACAGCTCCTGGATAGTTGAAAGGATCTTCTGGAACCCCCAGAAGCCATTTAAAGCCCTAAATAGCCCGCTTACTTAGGCATTCCACATTGACTTCAATGCATTTTGCAAAAAGGGGCAATTTCTTTTCTTAAAACTCCAGATTTTTACTGAGTTTTCAGGGAAACTAAAATTGTCAATTTCCATTATTCCTAGATTTAATTTTAGTGTCCATGGAAACTATTGCGTACAGCTGGACTTAGTTACATTAAAATATTGTCCTCCTATGGCAATAGCAAAGTAACAAAGTCTCTCCAAAGCAACCCAACCCACTGATACTCATCCTTGCCACAACAGCCGTCCCATTACCCTATGGTAGCCCTTAGGATATATCCATGGCTTCTGGTATAGGGGAACATGGGACCTTCTTGAAGGATGCAATACATGGGTCTGAACATTGTCTCATGAGGAGGAGGATGTCATCAACCCTATGTAAGCTTCAACCCCCAACATGCACATGGAGTCTACACAGGATTTGGACTCCAGGCTCAGGTGGAACAGCACAAGAGCAGAGCAAACGTGAGTGTAAGTGGGTCGTGGGTGGGCATTGAAAAGTACTCTTTAATGGAAAGCCATAGCTCAGTCATCTATTAGGTTATCCACCACACCCAGATTTTTCATGGTTCTGCCAAATTCACAGAGAGCTGCACAACTGCCCCATCAAATGGCTCCATATTGAATATCTCAGAAGCTTTGGTAGGTGAGTAGAGAACATTGGGGGATAGCCGGGAAGGGGTTTCTTAAGAGATAACTAAACAAAAGTTCACTATATGACCAAAATCATGTGTACCTCCCTCCAAACAATTGAGTAAAGGTGTTTCCAATTTAGGTTACTGCTAACGCTCCAACATACAAACATATTTTAGACAATTGTGCACTTCCACCCTTGTGGTAACAGTTTGGTGAAGACCCTTTTCTGTTCCACCATGACTGTCCCCTGTGTACAAAGCCGGAGCCATAAAGACATGGTTTGATGGGTTTGGTGTGGAGGAACTTGAGTGTACTGCACAGAGCCCTGACCTTGCCCATACTGAACACCATTGGGATGAACTGGATTGCAAGCAAAGTCTTCTCCTGACCTCACAAATGCTCTTTCGTCTAAAGGGGCACAAATTCCCACAGGCACCCTCCAAAATCATGTGGAAAGCCTTCCCAGAAGAGGTGAGGCTCTTAAATCTGCAGAGGTGGGTATGGGGTAGGGGGTTAATATCATAATAATGGTCATGGTTTTGGAATGGGATGTCCAAAAACCCCATTAAGATGTGATGGTCAGGTGTCTACAAACGTTTGGCCATAAAGTGTATAGTCATTCTTTAGGGCAGAGGTAGGCAAACTCCGGCCCTCCAACTTTTGGAATCGGGTGTCCAACAAACCCATTAAGATGTGATGGTCACGTATCTACAACAGTTTGGCCATAAAGAGTATAGTTATTCTTTAGGGTAGGGGTAGGAAAACTCAGGCCATCCAGCTTTTGGAATGGGGTGTCCAACAAACCCATTAAGGTGTGATGGTCAGGTGTCTACAAACGTTTGGCCATAAGGGTTTAGTTATTCTTTAGATCAGAGGTAGGCAAACTCCGGTCCTCCAGCTATGGTGCATCCCATGCAGGCTTTGCCAGACTGGCAGCCACAAGCATGACTCCCAGAGGCAGATGCATGATGGGATTTGTCGTTTTACCAGAGCTGGAGCTGCGAAGTTCGACGCCCTTGCTGTAGGTAGAGTTCTGATACAGAAAAATACGATTTGCAGCACCTAGTGGCCATTATGCAGAATGCAGATCATAGGGATCATTGTAATTTGAGGCGAGGTGTTATGGGAAAGACACGGACCCGCAGACAGATATTTTTAAGCCTGGGCTAGATTGCTGAGGTGGCGTATACAAGCTGCAGACGCACATAATGAGGCTGGGAGAGATGTGCACAGACAGGACTCTCCAAGCACCGCGATTGTGTGGAAATAATTACGACGGGCTGGGCGCCTATCAGATAATCTTCCCCGCAGGGAACTGTACAAATGTATCTAATAAAAGTGAACCGGCACAGGCACACAGAGCAAAACAAGAACAGAGGGAACCGAAAGGAGTCAGGAGAAGCTCTTTGGGGACAACCATTATGAAGCAGCATTGAACCAAAAGCTTATCCAGAGTCTGACGTTTGTAAAGGGTCATGGGTGGAGGTGGGCAGAACAAATGACCCACTTCCATCTTGGGACTCTTCACGCCCCCATGTAGAGTCTCACTCCCTTTGCCGCTCTTCCTGCTTTCTTCCTGAATGACTGAATTACATTTTAAAAATCCAGAACCAACCAAGACCCTTCCTCATGGCTCCACCAGTTGGGCAAACCTGCTAACCAAAAGCCCAATTGCATATGGTAGAGCAGGGAATGGATAGAGCCTCTGTTGGGGTCCCTAGTGGGGAAATTTCCCCTCATTGCTCCCTCTTGAATTGTATGTCCGGGCAAAACTCTTTTCATCTTCGTTTTGGATTGAGTGGGGAAGAATTAGAACAGCGCTGTTTTTTTCTGCTATCCAGGGCTCCATCGGGCCCCGTTCACACCTTGGCATTGCGTGAACGCGTGGCAAACACGCGCATGGACATGTGTTGGCGGAACGCGCTAAAAACATGCAACCCGCTTGCAGTGCTATGACTAGGCATGGCACTGCAGGTTATTGGAGCCCCGTTAACAAGTAATGGGTTGCCAATATTTGTTAACGGCACCCCAAAGCGCGGCTGGCAAGACGCGCATTTTTGCCCACATGTTAAACGCGCATCAAAAAATGCGGTACGCCTGCATGAGCTACTTTGCCACATTTGGCATGCCTGGGCAGCCCCAATGAAATGGCCGGAAAAACGCATACCAATGTGCACAAACGCAACTTGCGTTCATGGAATGCCAAGGTGTGCACGGGGCCTTAGAGGGATTTGCCATCACTTCCTGCCTCGCTGACAACAGTTTCACCAGACATAAAACGAGGACATATCCGCAATGGGAGAAAAAACAGAAATAATTCTTAAATCCATCAAACAGTTATAAAAAATGTCTGCGTTTCGGGGTGTCTGAACACTCCCCCTTCATCAGGGTTTTGATATTGTACATATCCTTGTAAGGACTCAGCGTTCTGCTGCGGCATCCATTTTGAATACTGTATCACCCATGTCAAATTTCTATAGCTTCAGTTTGCTAATTATTCGATTTTAGTCCTTTACAAGAATATATACAACACTGGAGCCTTGATGAAGGGGGAGTGTTCAGGCCCTCGAAACCTGTTGGATTTTATTTCAATTATCGGATGGACTATTAAAGATTTTTCACACTCATCTGTGCGTTGGTGCTCTTCATGCCGCCTTTCTCTCGGATTCTAATTCGGGGTACCCCTGGGTGACCCTGTCTGACCAGAGCAGCCTCACCGGTCTGGTCAGACATCATTGAAAATTGGCATTCCAGGCGCCTCTCTTTCCTGTATAGATACATTATTACGTAAAATTTGGCCATGAGCAATGGTAACACTCCAGGAACAAAAACAAAACGCTGACAAGCAAAGGAAATGGGAGCTATCGATCGCAAACCATTGATTATGTCTTATCGATATGATCAATAAAGAGATTAAGGTGATTATAGGCTCAGTGAGTAACGTTAGTGTTCAAAGCAGCAAAAAAATGGCCAGCTGGCCCAAAAATCATGCCAGTCCTGAAAAAGAAAGGATAATACATCCCTATTGCGGATTACATTGGCTGGTTCTCCTAGTATGACTTCTTATAATATCAATAATACGGAATCTGTATGTGACGGGTATGCAGCAGAGCATGGCCCTGGAAGAGCTGGACATGGCGGGAAGTCCTTCCACCCTCTGAAACTCCATCTGCAAGCTTTAAATTCTAACACAATGATCAGGTGACCTTTTCCAGATTTATGTCCCCCAGGTTTATGTCCCCCAGATTTATGTCCCTCAGGTTTATGTCTTCCAGATTTATGTCCCCCAGGTTTATGTCCCCCAGATTTATGTCCCCCAGGTTTATGTTCCCCAGATTTATGTCCCCCAGGTTTATGTCCCCCAG